CCCATAGCACCAGATGCTGCACAAACTTAGAGGCCTTCATATACCGGTACGGCTTGAATATACTCTCGACCTAAACACGAATAGCATAACATTGTTTAAGATCTTCATATTTACCACGATTTTTATATGAAAAAGTTTATTGAAATTATTTTTTTAATTACTTAATTATTAAAAGTGTGGTCATGAAGCAGAAGGGCTGGCATTTTACACCAGTTTTCATAATACACGCCAACATTATATCATATAATTTATATGGTATTATCCATACGTTAATTCATGAATGGATTTCATAAATACCTTAACAACATGTTTCTTGTCATCAATTTTAGTGATTTTACACCAATTAAACGCTTTTGACTTTACATTTAACTGTAATTTAATCGAATTAATCATTTATTTTGAAATCAAAATAATTATTAAATTAAAACAAAAATTAAGAAAAAATGCAAAATACCTTAATTGTTAAATCCTTAGGTTTTAATTCCTCGCAATTATTAAATAATACATTAAACGATACATTTATAACAAATATAATTATAAATGTTTTCATAATATACATTGTGTATATGTTTTATCATGATTTAATTAATACATGCCTAATTGGTTTAGACATAATTAAAAAATACAGTAAAGGTCTGAGGCTATCATGTTTTACCCACAAGTTTCACTTGTGTTGGTTTTTCTACCAAACAGTATGTTTGAAATAATTGCATTTAATTAAGCAATTAATGAGAAATAAATTTAATTTAAGTAAATTAATATTGATTTTTAACCCAAAAATATAACGCCATAATTAATATTGATTACCGTATAATTTATAAATGTCATTAATGTGCTGCAAGTTGTTTTATGGTACTAAATAAATTTATTATTTTAATTAATATATAAATTATAATTACAATTATAAAAATGGTTTACATGAGAGAGAAAGAAAGAAAGAAAGAAAGAGAGAGAGAGAGAGAGAGNGGGGACAAATATTACGGTATATTAAGTGACGTTATTTATGTCAAAACATACAACACTTTGAGTACATGTATAGTGAGTGCCATCTGATGGCCACAACACGTGTGTGTGGTTTGCGTTGAGTGTAGTGTTTGAGTGTGTGTTTTGATTGTCTTCATCGGTAACCACACGTCACTCACTCTCGGCTCAGACAATGTCGTCGGCTTTGGATCAGTTGGAGACCAATCTGGAGTCGCTGACCGAGAATGTGCGACAACTGGGTATAATCGTGTCGGACTTCCAGCCCCAGGGTCAGGGACAGACCGCTCTCAACACCAAACTGTATGTATTGTTTGTGGTATATTGTCATCACTCGTGAGGGCCGAGTGGTGTTGACACACACTTACCATTCAATTGTCGCAATAATGTGATTGTCTTTCTTTATGTCTACCAAATAGTAATCAAATCGTGACATCACTGCAAGACATCGATCGCATCAAGAATGACATGACCGGCAAAAGCAGTGACATTCAGGTCCCGCTGGAAGTGTTTGAGTGAGTGTTTTTCTCCCAGAGATAATGATTTGTCACTTCTGGTGGCCATCCAATTGATCCATTGGTGATGTCTTATAATTGGTGTTATGACGACAGGTATATCGATGAGGGAAGGAATCCACAGCTCTATACGAAAGACTGTATGGAGAAAGCGCTGCAGAAGAATGAGTTAGTGAAGGGAAAGATCGACTCCTATCGGGTCAGTACCACAGCTATAGTCTTGTACTGTAATGGATGTGTCCATTGAAACGAATCGATGGCTAATTTGATGAATGTATTAATGATTGTCTTATTATTTGCATTTTGTTGATCAGAGATTCAAAGCCATGCTTTTGGTTGAGTTGTCGAAAGTGTTTCCCAACGAAATCAGCAAATATCGGGCCGTTAGGGGCGACGAAAGGCCCTCCAACTGATCACTCCATTCTCTCTCTCTCTCTCTCTCTCTCTCTCTCTCTCTCTCTCTCTTTCTTTCTTTCTTTCTTTCTCTCTCATGTAAACCATTTTTATAATTGTAATTATAATTTATATATTAATTAAAATAATAAATTTATTTAGTACCATAAAACAACTTGCAGCACATTAATGACATTTATAAATTATACGGTAATCAATATTAATTATGGCGTTATATTTTTGGGTTAAAAATCAATATTAATTTACTTAAATTAAATTTATTTCTCATTAATTGCTTAATTAAATGCAATTATTTCAAACATACTGTTTGGTAGAAAAACCAACACAAGTGAAACTTGTGGGTAAAACATGATAGCCTCAGACCTTTACTGTATTTTTTAATTATGTCTAAACCAATTAGGCATGTATTAATTAAATCATGATAAAACATATACACAATGTATATTATGAAAACATTTATAATTATATTTGTTATAAATGTATCGTTTAATGTATTATTTAATAATTGCGAGGAATTAAAACCTAAGGATTTAACAATTAAGGTATTTTGCATTTTTTCTTAATTTTTGTTTTAATTTAATAATTATTTTGATTTCAAAATAAATGATTAATTCGATTAAATTACAGTTAAATGTAAAGTCAAAAGCGTTTAATTGGTGTAAAATCACTAAAATTGATGACAAGAAACATGTTGTTAAGGTATTTATGAAATCCATTCATGAATTAACGTATGGATAATACCATATAAATTATATGATATAATGTTGGCGTGTATTATGAAAACTGGTGTAAAATGCCAGCCCTTCTGCTTCATGACCACACTTTTAATAATTAAGTAATTAAAAAAATAATTTCAATAAACTTTTTCATATAAAAATCGTGGTAAATATGAAGATCTTAAACAATGTTATGCTATTCGTGTTTAGGTCGAGAGTATATTCAAGCCGTACCGGTATATGAAGGCCTCTAAGTTTGTGCAGCATCTGGTGCTATGGGTGTGTCGACACCCGGACCCGAGTATATTCGACCAGCACTCGACCTCCCGGGGCGTCGACTGTACGGACATGAGTGACTTGCCCTCGGAGTACAAACACTGTTTCAACATATTCTTCGTGTTGGACAATCCGGACCAGATCTTCGAGAGCGGCTACGATAACGCGCTGTCCATCGGTGACCAACACTCGCGGTATCTCATGATCAACGCTCGCTTCGACGTCGCGAAGGAGGAGTTCATTGGCCGCGAAGTGGAGATCGGAATGCGTTTGTGGACAACCAATAACTGGCGGCGCAACGAATTGCAGCAATTGATTACCGGCGCTCACGTCTCGCTCTACGGCATTATAATACCGGCCCGGAAGTCAAGTTTTGTCAACGTTGGCCACTGTAGCGGCAAATGCTTTAAAGATGTATGTATTTGGCAGACAATGTGTCGACAATTTTATTTTATTAATGAAATGTTTTTTTTTGGTGCCAAATATAGTCGATGCCATCGGAAGGGATAACACTAACCCATGTTTATCCCATGTTTAATCAATACGGTAAAAAGCGAGTTTACTAATTGTCCTCTCTCTCTCTCTCTCTCTCTCTCTCTCTCTCTCT